AATTACAAGAATTCTGCAAGAATGACAAGAATTCGGCAAGAAATACAAGAATTTGGCAAGAATTACAATAATTCGGGAAGAATGACAAGAACTCGGCAAGAAATACAAGAATTTGGCAAGAATTACAATAATTCGGGAAGAATGACAAGAACTCGGCAAGAAATACAAGAATTTGGCAAGAATTACAATAATTCGGGAAGAATGACAAGAACTCGGCAAGAACTACAAGAATTTGGCAAGAATTACAATAATTCGACAAGAATGACAAGAACTCGGCAAGAACTACAAGAATTTGGCAAGAAATACAAGAATTTGGCAAGAATTACAAGAATTCGGGAAGAATGACAAGAACTCGGGAAGAATGACAAGAACTAGGCAATAATTAGCATGATTGGTCCTCAACCATCCATTCCCTATCTTATACTCTGATTAAAATGCTCGCCATTCTCAACACGTGTGCTTGTGCACTAAATGAATTTCACTAATTGAGGTATTCACAGTGTGCATGTGATAAATGTACACCAGAAGGATGTAGCTGAAAGACACAAGAACATCACCAGATCAGTGTCGGCATAACAGCTTGGCCTGAACCATAAACCTAATAATAATAATAATAATAATAAAAAAATAATAACAATAACAGTAATAATAATAATAATAAAAATAATAGTAATAATAATAAGTATTATAAGATAGTGCCAGACAATGACGGCAGTGTGGTGCGTCTGTGAGTGGCGGGGAGGCGGTACCTGGACTGGCTTCGTGGCTGCTCGGCTGGGGGCAACCCTCGGTGGCTGCACTGCTGTCCGAGACCTCCGGCTCCTGACCCGTCCTGCTGTGCTCAGCCGCGTGGCTCGAGCCAACCTGTATGTTTATACAAGAACATATAAATAACAAGCATACATAAATAAGATCATTAGCTGCAATTAAAACTGCTTTAAAAAAAAATATGTAAAAATTAAGAAAAAAAAAAAATTAGGAATTTTTCTCAAGACGGGAATCCGCCTATACAGACGGACAGTTACCACCCATGCACGTACGAAACTCCAGGACGTCCTGTCGATGTCTGACCTCACCGTGCAGCACTCACACCGATCCGAATCGCGATTACTGACACACCCATCGATTGTTACACCTCTAACATGCAGACACAAACGAGTCTCGTGCAAATGCGTCGCTCCGGGGAACCCCGGCAGAGGCAGCAAACGAACGCACATATCTGGGGGAACGACGGCGGAGGCAATGACCAGCCGTCCGCAGGGTGAGAGTCACGCGTTACACCTCTAACGTGTAGATAAAAAATCGCCACACATGTGCGTGCAATCCCCGAGGAAAACCGCGGCGGTGGCAACGAGAGGCTGTTCGCGCCTCCTCTGTGAACCATGATAGAGCAGTC